ACTGTAAACCTACTTTTGTACCACCCTGTATAAGTAGTTTATTGGTACATAAAAATGACAGCTACTAGTACTATCACCATAATTCATAAATTTTTCAGGTCAGTGGCTTAGTTTTTCTCTATTTCTTCTCCTACCAAGGTCTATTATGAAATGTGTTATTAACTTAGGTTTGGGGAAGGGGTATTTATTTATTTTACAATAATTTGTTCAACTATACATGTATGTAAGTTATATTTAACAAGAAAAAGTTAAATATTGAGATTTGAATGACACTGAAACTTCCTAGTCTTGTTTTTTATTCCCTTTACAGAGTATATTACTATAAGCTAGATCTGGATGGGAAGTCCTATAGAGAACTTACACTCAGTATTTTAAAAAATGAACTTACTGTCTTCTATCCTTTCTCACTTCCTCTCTCCTTCCCACACTCACTTCCTTTTTTTTTTACTTCATTCTTTCCACTTGCAATTATTGGTTACCTACTTCTGCTAGGCACAGTATTAGGGAGCAAACACAATCACAAACAAGGTAGTTACAACCTTTGTCCTCATGTAACTTACAAATTAGCTAGTAAGAAACATTCAACAAATGAATTACAGAAATAATTCTATCAAAATAGACCTGATGAGTGTGATGAAGGAAAGCTCAGAATTCAATACAAGCAAATAACGTACAAATTAGATGGAACCCTGGCTCAGTCTAGGGGTTGATGGGAAGAGTCATGGAGGCCAATCCTGAGCTGGGACATGAAGGATGAGCTGGGGGTGGGGAGGTTACTAAGCAGAGGTAACATGATTTTCTGCAGTCTTATGCGTCTTTTTAAAACATAATCACCTTCCCGGTTACCCAGGGTTAAATTCTTCACATTGTCTGTCTTTGACACTCTATTCTCTTTTGCCTCAACAAATAATCAGCTGCCCAATTTTCCTGATTCTGCATCTTCTTTCTTCTATTCCCATGAATAACTGAATTCCCAATTTCACAATGTTATTTATGTTCTTCTTTACCTATTTCCTACAGTTTTATTTTGGAATGGTTTTTATTTTTCCAAACTAGTCTTTGCACCTTCAATATTTTCCCCTTTCACAGCCAACCAATCCTCTCACATATTACTGCCAGATTAACTCTCTTGAATGTTCTGATATCAACTCAAAGAAGTTTAGTGGAATGTCAGCTGATGAAATAGGATCTGAATTCCTCATCATGTTATTAAAAGCTTAAGAAGAACTGACCCCATGTCTGTTTTGAAGCTTGATTTTCAGTACTCCCTTTCACGTCCTCCTGAGTGTAACTGCATACTCCACATTCTAAAGCTTTTCCCACAACCAGGCCTTTGTCTTGGGCTCTCCTCCCCTTTCCTCTTTGTTACATATTTAAACCTATTTCTCCTTCATGTTCTTGCCCAAATATCCACCCTCCCAGAATAAATTCACTTTTTTCCCACCGAGTAATTTCCTTTTCTCTGGATCCTCAATATTACAAGATTCACAGTATGATAGCTTTTGTCATCTCCCCCACCTGGTAGAACTATTTGGAGAAGAATGAAGGTATAGTTCTTAATGAGCATGAACTCTGGAGCCAAACTGCCTACATTCCAATCCTTGCTCTGACACTTCCTGGCTGTGTGAGCCTGAGCACATCACTTAAATTCTCCATGCCTCATTTTTTTTTCTGTAAGAGTCCCTACCTCATAAGGTACTGTGTGGACTAAATGAATAAATAAGGCAAAAATGCCTAATCTAGTATGTAGCAGTAGTGCTGTATAAGTATGATCACATAATTTTTTGTATCATTTACATGTAATATCTACTCTTCTAAATTTTAACTTGAGGACAAAACCACATCTTAGTTATCTGTATGGTCTCTAAATCCCCTACTGCCTCACACAGAGTAAATTAATAGTGAATGTATAAATTAGAATCATCATAATTAATGAACCCTAATTGGACTTTTCAAATAGTTTATTTTGAAGGTAACATTTTTTATTAAATTAGCTAAAATAAATCATTGAGCAAAAAATTATATAAATTATATAAGTTATATAATTTATATATTATATAAATTTTCTGTGTGTAAAGCACACAGATTGTATGGAGAAGTATGCCTTCTCTGATGTTACATTTGATTCAAGGAGACACACATACAGATAACTACAATATAAGGCAAAGTAGAAAAAGTATACAGTCAAAAAGTGATTATAGGAATTCAAAAGAAGTGGCTGTAATGATTAGAAAAGAATTTATTCAGGTGATAAGTAATTATACTGCAATGAGAATAAAACTTTTAGAACAAAGCATACATAAATCAACTCTCCTGATAATATTAGCCAATACTTATTGAATACTTGCTGTACCAGACATTGTGTTTATCATATTTAAACCAGAGCAGTTCCATGTGGAAGTATTGTTGTGTTTCATTTTACAAGTGGTAAAACTGAGTCATAGCAAGGCACTGTTAAATAACTTGTCAAAGTCATGCAGCTAATACAGAGGAGAGCTGGGATTAGAACCCAGGAAGACTGGATTCAGAACCTGTATTCACCACCACACTGCAAAATGAGAATTTCAACTTTACTACTTGCTGAACTGTTTCTAATAATATGTTGTATTAAGTTCACTGGAATTTTATTTTCTATTACTTTTTAAATTTATATCTTATCTATGGATGCTAAAAAAGTTATTTCATTTTGACCAAATCAGTCTTTCATTTACAGTAACAAGTCCTAGAATTCTTCATCTATGAAATAAAAGTTTGAAGCTGTATCAGTAGTTCTCAAATAGTTCAAGAGCAATTCTTTATTTCAAAATAAAAAATAATTATGCCAACTTCTATATTACAGTTTTTCCCCTTCCCCTATTCACTACTTGGTATGCAATAGAAAATTTCACAATAAGTCACAGGATTTTGCAGCCTCAAGGAATCCACTGTGCTAGAATAATCTCTAATCTAGTTCTTGACTTTCGGTCCCTCCCTCTCTGGTTTCCAATTTGTCATTTTCTCTCTGCCATGAGAAGAAACACATATACTACCTCAATCCCTTAAAAATCTATCAAATTTTCTCCATTATTTTTCCCTGTTTTCTCTTCTTCCTTCCACACAGGTTTCTTAGTAAACAACACAACTTACTTTGCAGAACTCATAATTACTATTAGATTCTTGTGAAAAGGAACACTGCCAAAAATACATGAGTTAAAACAATACAGATTTGCAGAACTTTAACTTGTTTCATCAAAATAATAAATAAAAGAAAGATTTTCATAACAATTTTGGGATTATTTCCAAATAATTTTCTAGTAGATTAAATTCTAAAGTCAAATCTTTACAAATACTATATATAGACAAAGCAACATTATCTGCTGTCCATATTTATTTTAACATTTCTTTCCTTTCTCCTTGACACTTTTGTCCAGTATTTTCCCCACTGCTTGAGAATGTAATCCAAATGATATAGACAATACTTAGCTCCATATCTTTATATAGTAGAAATATTTGAGAAATACTAGCATAGAGTTTTAGGTGATACCATTCTTGGTACTGCTGGAGACTGGGGCTTCATTTCTAAGATACCAGCAAGAAATTATCAGCCCCCAGGCCCTGTCCCCCAGTTACCCCTTATGTTTCCCAATATTCAAATCTTTGGGATGCATAACCAAAACAACACTCTGGGTTTTCAGAGTGGTTATATTTTTCTGTTATGATGTCCTTACATTCAGCAGAATCAGTTCAGCCAGCTGCTTCAAGCAGAAAGGTACACGTCTGCATTCGCCACAGCATTAGTTCTCTGGCGCTGTGTAACACTCCTTAGGCAGGGCCAAACCAATTCCTATTTGATGAGGGCTTGCTTCAGACCACACAGCAGCATCTGAAAGGCAGTATATAGACAGCACCTTGGGAAAACAAGGCGGGGCAAATGTAGGTTTACGGTTGTAAGTACATGAAACAGAGTTTATTCTTGTATTATTATTTATTAATTCCTGTATTATTTTTCATGTGAAAAACTGTAAACCTACTTTTGCCCCACCCTGTATATGCCTTATGACCATCCCCCTAGAAATGGCCATTTGTTCCCTTGTGTCCCACTGAACCTGTGCAAGTGTTTATCCCAGCACCTGTGCTCCTATTTTTATTGTCAACCCAGGATGTCATGCTTATTGATTCTAGAGAGGGGGTAGGGGGAGAGAGACAGAGAGACAGAGAGCGAGACAAACATCTATATATCTTCAGTTGCCTGTTGCGGGCATCCTGACTGGGACTGAAACCGCAACCCAGGCATGCACCCTGATTGGGATTCAAACCTGCAACTTTTCAGTTCACAAGACGGCCCTCCAACCAACAGAGCCACACCAGACAGAGCAGCAAGTGTACTACTTTATTGTAGTTTCTTGTTTATATGTCTCTCTTTCTTTTCTTATTGGCCTTTGTATCCACAACATCTGGTATAGTGCCTGGCTCAAAGTAAATGCATAATTAATGTTTGTTGAATGAAAACTCGGGAGTAAGAAGCAACAAGTTAGCGAAGTAATTGAACCAAGTACTAAGTGAAGTAATAAATATGGAATGGTAGACTGAGGGGGGGGAGTGTGCAGCTCAGGATAATCCTCCCAGGGCTGATTTAGACAGGGGATAGGTATTGTAGAAATGTGGAGACGGGAACAAGGGAAGTTCCAGGTGGAATACAATGGAAGCTAGCCTCGCTGGCCCATCTTGGGAAGTAAAAAGAACTAAGTTGGGACATACCAATGACTTAGAGACACTTGATAGAAACTCCTGAAAGTCAAAATTAAAGAATTTAGAATTGATTTGGAAGCAGTAGGGAGACACTATAGTTCTCCAATTTGGGCAATGAATGATCAAAGTAATATTTTAAAGTTTTAATCTAATGGATGTGTGCTTATGTGAGAATTTATGTATATTAAACATCGGGTCATGAAATATTGATTTTAGTCTATGGGTCTTCAGTTGATCCTAAAAATTTCGTTCTTTTTCTTCTCATCCCACAGGTCGTTATTTTGTACTTTGAGCCAAACACATTTCGCTGTATTCTCCTAAGATGGGTCCGCCTCCTTGGTTTTGCTACTGTTTATGGAACTGTCACTCTCAAGCTCCACAGGTATATTATATTTTACCAGTTTTCATTCTCATGGGAGGATCAGGGCGGCTTAGCATATCATAACAAGCTGGGCCAGCCAATTAATGGTTTAATTTTAAGAATTTAAATAGCATGATGATCTATATTTTTATTTTCAAGGCAGTTCTTTAGGATTCAATGGGAAGGTGTTTAATACAACTGAATTTGAATAATATGGTTTAATAAAATGTGCCATTGGTCTTGGAAAGTTTAATTCTGAATAAAATAAGTTCAGAATGAATGCAAAATAGTATTGACTATCTAAGAACAGAAATAAATACAAAGACAATGTAGCTGAAATAATTATCCAGGCCCAGAGCTACCAAAGAATCGTGTGTGTATAGTAGAATTCAGTCACATGCTTATTTGACTAAAACTGCTGTCCTACCATTTCCAAGTTCTGTGTCCCAGGGTAATCCTGCTGATATTCTGTGGGTGAAATTGGAGAAAAGTAGTGTTTCTAGCCTTCCTCTTATGTACTTCAGTAATTATCAACTTTGCACATTGGAGAATGCTGTAAATTACCTTATACTTTGCTTCAAAGTCTCCTACTTCTTCAAATGTATATGATCAATATTAGGAAGAAAGAGGCAACAAAGACTAGACTAGGGGTGGCTGGAAATTATTCCAGGGCTTTCCCTTGCCTCCTCTTCCCAAGTTTTCTTAATGTGGTGGTGCCGAAGAACTTAGGAGAGGAAGTATGTTTCTCCTGTAGGATAAAATTGTCATTCTATAGAGGGAACCCTTTATGCTGATTAGCTTTAAATGTGGTTGACAACCACTTAAAAGCCATTCATGTTTCCATGCTAATCTTTCCATAATTTTTTCTCAATATAATTATTTTAATAGGGCTCATTCAACAATTTATTTTAGTCACCATAATATGTGGTATATTTATCTTTAAATGTATCCCCTTTGCACATTTCTTAAAATGTGGTCGTTGTACTGTCTACTACATAATCTCCATTTTGTTTTCTTTTTGGGAGAGTGGGTAAGTACCTATTTACTGGGGAGGCCTCAGATTATCTTTTTGGGAAAATGTAAATATCCTTAACTCTCAATATATCAAATTGTACAAAGAATGTTACACTGGATTTCATGATGTCCAGTTTAAATCTGTTTAGCATCTAACTCTAAGAAATCATAGGCCACTAATTCTTAGAATAGGAAAACATTAGAGCAATCTTTAATGTTCTTCCTGGTGCCCACTTTACTATTTCCACATGACAGCACACTTTACTCTTGTGCCCTTCTATCCTTCAAGTACCTACTGATTTCCATTCCTTATATGATAGCTATTCAGTATTTTTTAACTGATGGTCACTCACTGAAGGAAATAAACCATTGACAGCTTAAAATGGACATAAGACTTCTGGAAATTCTGAATGAATGGGTGGCCTATTGAGACTTGAAAATGACTTCTCTCCCTGTGAGTCTAGCACTTAGTATCTATTAAGTTTGCTTATTCAATTATCTTCTTCATTCTCACCTAGTTTACTTTCTTTTTGAAGTGAGGGTCTTACCAAGTCTAAGCACAATGACTGACACATGGTAGGTACTTAATGCATATTAGTTGATAAGTGAATGAATACAAATGGTAGATGCAGACTTAGAAGCTGCTTTTATCGCTTCTGTCCACATATAATACATTTACATTCTCCTACTTCACTATATGTCCTAAAGTACATATCTGGAACACTGTGGTTTGCAAGAGGCTATTTATGGTGGGATGAAAATATAGTATTAGGTATCACCGAATCATGTAATGAGAAAACTACTTCCATTCAGGGTCTCTTTCTATCCTTCTGATCACTTCCAGGAGAAAAATTAGCATGGACTAAGTAGGTCTTTAACACTTGCTGAGCAGTTGTTATTCTTCGTTGGCAAAAAGGAGCAAATCAAGTCAGGCTCAGAGCTTTCCAATGCAATGCTGTCTAGATAAAACTTACTAACTTTGGCTCACTGTATTTATTTTCATAGTTACTTTCTATGTATAGGTTATCAGTTTTTCACTGAAAGTAGCAATATGTTTCCTTTAAAATATTTTAAAGCAAGAAATAAAAGTTGATTTAAAGAATATATTAGCTGGTGTGCAGATATCAAGAGAAATCTCCAGGGAGGTAAGCCAAGGATTGACATTTAGTACACTAGATTATTTCATCATACTTTGTTTATTTTAAAGACTGGAAATAAAACTATTTTTTCTCTATGTGTTTCTAGAAGTCATTGCAGTGAAGAATTACCCTGTTGAAGGCTTAAATTGAGTAGAAACTGTTTCTAATTTAATGAGCTGAATTATTCTTATCTTGTCTGAACCATATGGCTTTATATTATATTCTGTTCTTTTCCATACTGCTTAAATTTAACCGATTCCAATATAAAGTCTATTAACTGAACAGTCAGCTTTGCAAAGGGATGTGAGCAACCTGATGGAAGTGACAGGCTAACCCAGCTTTGTACTCCCTATTCTTTTTTTTTTTTTTAAGATTTTATTTTTTTATTTTTAGGGAGGGGAGGGAGGGACATAGAGAGAGAGAGAGAAACATCAATGTGCGGTTGCTGGGGGTTATGGCCCGCAACCCAGGAATGTACCCTGGCTGGGAATCGAACCTGGGACACTTTGGTTCCTAGCCCGCGCTCAATCCACTGAGCTACGCCAGCCAGGGCTTGTACTCCCTATTCTTGTTGCTGCACCTTGCACCTATTATATATACACTGCATTTTTCAGACCATAAGACACACCTAGGTTTCAGAGGAGGAAAATAGGCAAAAAATTTTGGAGCAAAAAATGTGGTAAAATATTTAATAGCATAAATAACATAATATTTCACCAATATAAATGTAAACAGAATTCAAGAGCAGCATTAACAACCATTATTCCCAACCATTATTCCTCCCAAATTTGAGGGGAAAGGTGCATCTTATAGTCTGAAAAATACAGTAGTTGACCCTTGCACATTGCTGGAGTTAGGGGCACTGATACCACTTGAAGTTGAAATTTCATGTATACCTTTGGACTCCACAAAACTTTACTGATAGCCTGCTGTTGACCAGTAGCCATACCAAGAGCATAAACTGTCAATTAATTTTTATATATTTTGTATATTATATATTATATACTGTATTCTTATAGTAAAACAAGCAAAAGAAAAGAAAACATTTTTAAATCATAAGGAAGAGAAAATGCAAGTACATTTACAGTATTTATTGAAAAAAATTTCTCCTGTAACTGGACCCATGCTGTACAAATTTGTGTTATTCAAGGGTCAGTTGTATCTGGGTATCTGTTAAGTGAATGAGTGGGTGGATGGTTATACTGAATGGAACTGCAAGGAATGTTTTTGGTTGGGGCATCTGTTAGAGTCAAACAACATGTGGCCCTGAAGAATTCAAGTCTTAAGATTTTGTAGTAACACGATAGGAAGACATAAATCCTAACAAATCTGAATTTGTATTCCAATTCTGCTATTAACTATTTATACAACTAAGTATAAATAACTTTAAAATATGAGAATCTGCTTTTTTCACCTCACCTCTAAAGTTGTTCTAAAGATTAAGCATGATTGAGATATATGTAAATATTTTAAGTAAGGGTTTTTGATTGCAAACCACAAGTTCTAACTATGGCTAAATTAAGCAAAAAGGAAATTCACTGGAAGAATATAGGGAAGTCACAGAATTAAAAGGAAAGCTAAAGAACCAGGCTTTAGAGGACCTGAGCCAAGGTAGATTGATGGATCAGGTAGCCTGGACTAAGTGATAATGTCCCTTGAATTCCATAGACTCATTTGCAATAGGAACTTGATTTTTTATTTCAAGATTTTTCTTAATCCTCACCTGAGGATATTTTTTTCATTGCTTATTAAAGAGGAATGGGAGTGGAGACAGAGAGAGAGAAAGAGAAACATCTGTGTGAGAAAGAAACACTGATTGGTTACCCTCTTGCACATGCCCTGACCAGGAATTGACCTGTGACATTTTGGTGTATGGGACAACACTCCAACCAATTGAGCCACCCAGCCAGGGATCATGATTTTTTTTAAGTAAGTCCTACCTTTCTAGGCAGAAAATTTTAAGGGAATTATCAACACTGATGTATAAAATAACTGTTAAAGTCCCTTGAGAATAGAATAGGCAAGAAAGACTTGCATTTTTATTTCAGCCATTTCACTGAAGGCTTAGTAAAATTATTGAATATGTTTTCATTACCTCCTGGTCTCTCACTGACTGATTATAGTGTTTATGGAATTCTACTAGCTCTGAAAACTTGAAGCAAATATTTTAAAAAAACAGGACATTATCCTGTCACACAAATAATAATATTAGACATGAGATCTTAAAGATTTTATTCACTTTTATCAAATCTCCCACTTTTGACAGTCATACAGCCAACAGAAATACCAATACCAATCCACAGGAAAATTGCAAAAGAGTCTTTGTTTATTAACAGTGCAATGTAAGACTATGATAAGTTGGGGGAGGGGTGAGAGTTGTCCTCCCCTTCAGGGAGGAGTATTTTATTACTGACATTTAGAGTCATCATCACATGTGATAAAAAAAGAACCAACTATTTTTTTCCTTTTTTATTGTTGTTCAAATACAGTTGTCTCCATTTTTATCCCATCACAACCCCCCCCCCACGCATTCCTACTTCCCACCCTCAAAGATACCCCCTTTGACTTTGTTCATGTGTCCTTTATACACGTTCCTTGATGGCCCTTCTAGTATCCCCTATGACCTCACCTATAAGTGGAACCTAATCAACAAAACAAATAAGCAAGCAAAATACAACCAGAGACATTGAAATGAACAAAATGACTATAACCAAGAGTGAGGAGAGGGATAATAGAGAACCAACTTTTAATTGTATTTATTATTGCCTTAAATTTTTTACAAATAAATGGGCCACTTTGTTACCTTACCCTGGGTAGACCAGTCCCACTGCCCCACTTCATTGGCAGGCCATTTATGTAAAAGAATTT